ATTACAAATTAGAGGTGGCCTCATCCATCGCGCAACTTGAGCGCGCGCCAACAGGGAACGGATTCCATTACAAACTAGAAGTGGCCTCATCCATCGGGCCACTCGAAGCGCGCGCCACCAGTGAACGAATTCAATTACAAACTAGTAGTGGCCTCATCCATCGGGAAACTGGGAGCGCGCGCCAACAGCGAACGGATTCTATTACAAATTAGAGGTGGCCTCATCCATCGCGCAACTTGAGCGCGCGCCAACAGGGAACGGATTCCATTACAAACTAGAAGTGGCCTCATCCATCGGGCAACTCGGAGAGCGTGCCACCAGTGAACGAATTCAATTACAAACTAGTAGTGGCCTCATCTATCGGGAAACTCGGAGCGCGCGCCAACAGCGAACGCATTCTATTACAAATTAGAGGTGGCTTCATCCATCGCGCAACTTGAGCGCGCGCCAACAGGGAACGGATTCCATTACAAACTAGAAGTGGCCTCATCCATCGGGCCACTCGAAGCGCGCGCCACCAGTGAACGAATTCAATTACAAACTAGTAGTGGCCTCATCCATCGGGAAACTGGGAGCGCGCGCCAACAGCGAACGGATTCTATTACAAATTAGAGGTGGCCTCATCCATCGCGCAACTTGAGCGCGCGCCAACAGCGAACGGATTCTATTACAAATTAGAGGTGGCCTCATCCATCGCGCAACTTGAGCGCGCGCCAACAGGGAACGGATTCCATTACAAACTAGAAGTGGCCTCATCCATCGGGCCACTCGAAGCGCGCGCCACCAGTGAACGAATTCAATTACAAACTAGTAGTGGCCTCATCCATCGGGGGAACTCGGAGCGCGCGCCAACAGCGAACGCATTCTATTACAAATTAGAGGTGGCCTCATCCATCGCGCAACTTGAGCGCGCGCCAACAGGGAACGGATTCCATTACAAACTAGAAGTGGCCTCATCCATCGGGCCACTCGAAGCGCGCGCCAACAGTGAACGGATTCAATTACAAACTAGTAGTGGCCTCATCCATCGGGAAACTCGGAGCGCGCGCCAACAGTGAACGGATTCAATTACAAACTAGTAGTGGCCTCATCCATCGGGCAACTCGGAGAGCGTGCCAACAGTGAAGGGATTCTATTACAAACTAGAAGTGGCCTCACCCATCGGAGAACTCAGAGCACGTGCCAACAGAGAACGAATTCTATTACAAACTGGAGATGGCCTCAACCATCGGGGAACTTGGACCGCGCACCAAAAGTGAACGAATTTCATTACAAACTAGAGGTAGCCTCATCCACCGGGCAACTCGGAGCGCGCGCCAACAGCGAACGGATTCTATTACAAACTAGAGTGGCCTCAAGCATCGGGGAACTCGGAGCGCGTGCCAACAGCGAACGGATTCTATTAGAAACCAGAGATGGCCTCATCCATCGGGGAACTCGGGAACTGGGAGCGCGCGCCAACAGTGAAGGGATTCTATTACAAACTAGAGGTGGCTTTATCAATCGGGCAACTCGGAGACCGCACCAACAGCGAACGGATTCTATTAGAAACTAGAGATGGCCTTATCCATCGGGAAACTCCAAGCGCAAGCCAACAGTGAACGGATTTTATTACAAACTAGAGATGGCCTCATTCATCGGGGAACTCGGAGCGCGCGCCAAAAGCGAACGAATTCTATTACAAATTAGAGGTGGCCTCATCCATCGGGGAACTCGGAGCGCGCGCCAACAGCGAACGGACTCTATTACAAACTAGAGTGGCCTCAAGCATCGGGGAACTCGGAGCGCGCACCAACAGTGAACGGATTCTATTACAAACTAGAGTTGGCCTGATCCATCGGGCAACTCGGAGCGCGCACCAACAGCGAACAGATTCTAATTCGATCTAGAGATGGCCTCATCCATCGGGGAACTCGGAGCGCCCGCCAACAGCGAACGGACTCTATTACCAACTAGAGTGGCCTCATCCATCGAGGAATGCAAGGCAACCGACTGCTCTCTGTTGAGGTCTTTGTGGGGAGGGGGTGAATCCTCCTCAGGGCTCTGGTGTGCTCCATAGTGTCTAGTAACTATGGCTGGTTCCTCCTCGTTGTGCGCCCCCGGTCGGTGTATTCTCGGGCAATGATGTCGGCACGCTGGTTCCCTGTCACAGTTTTATGGCCTGGTGTCCATGTAATGGAGCAGCTCGAGAAGTTGATTTTTCTTCCCTTGAATATGTGGATGGCAGCACTGGATATGCGTCCGCTGCTGTACCGTCGACACGCTTCTTGCGAGTCAGTAACTATTTCTGTAGTAGAATCTTCACTCTGGTGTGTGATGGCGATCGCGATCGCTACTTCCTCAGCCTCGAGGATGTTGTGGCTTTTGATCGAAGCGCTGTTGACTTCCCTAAGTTGGTGATCAACAACGTTTAAATCTGTCCCCGAGTGCTCTCAGTATGTGGTCGCGTCAACGTACAATACGTCGGTCCGTGCCTTGAAAATCTTTCTTGTGCTTCTGATCTGGCTTTTCTTCGAGCCTTATGGATTTCTGGATGCATGTTTCGAGGTATTGGGCGGACATCAATGATCTGGCGAATGTCCTTTGGTATGCTCGCCGTGTTATCGATTTCTCCGCAAGCATCCCTCATGCCCAATGTCTGCAACGTATGCCTGCCCGTAGCAGTCAACAGTAATCTCATTTTCTGCGCAACAAGATGCGCCTCGATGTGTTCTTGCACTGTGTTTTTTATCCCGAGTTGAAGAAATTTCTCTGTCGAGGTGCTGACAGGTAGACCAAGGGCGGACTTGTAGGTTTTTCTGAGGATTGCGTCTAATTATTCTTTTTCCTATGGGAGTGGTGTTTGGTAGGGGACACTGTATACAATCCTACTGACCACGAAGGCCTGTACAAGCCTACAAGTGTCCTCCTTCTTCATACCCCGTCTTTTGTTAGAGATTCTGTTGATCATCGTCGTGATTTGCGCTGTAGTGTTTGACAGCTGCCTGATGGTGTGGTCTATACGACAGTTGCTTTGTATCCACATGCCGAGAATCTTAATCGGGGCACTTCTGGAATCTTCTTCCCCCCTATATAGACGTCTATGGAATTGTGCAGATCGTATCCTCGTCTGTAGGCTCTCAGGACTTCTGATTTCTCCGGAGAGCAGACGAGGCCACATTGACGTGAACTGTATCAGCTGTGCGTTGCAGAAGATCTTGTTTTTGACCTAGAGATTCTCTTGTCAGCCAGATTGTATCATCGTCTGTGTAGATGGCATGTCTGAGTCCTTCAATGTTTTCGAGGTTCCGAGCTAAGCCGATCATAACGATGTTGAACAGCATCGGTGATATCACCGAACCTTGGGGTGTTCCTTTTGTGGGCGTATCAAACGTATCAGTGCGGATGCCTCCTATACCAATTGTGGCGGTTCTGTTATGGAGAAAAGCTTTGATGTCAGGACAGATTGGCACATCATGGCGCAGCACTTCCACCCCTGAAGGAAGAAAGTGCTGTTCTACACAAAGCTAGCAACAATCAACGCAATCGTATGTTGAGAATGTAAGCCGCACGTACTGTATACAGCGTCCCAAAAAGCATGTCGAGTATGATATCGAAGAAAATGACCGACATGGGTCAAGGCGTACAAACAGTTTCCAACACCTGACTAGTACGCACAACTGCGTTTGATTTGATGTGCTGCTGACCTTATCGTATTTTCCTCGCGTTTAACAAGCCCCTGCAATAACACGCACTCCAACTTCAAACGAAGCACAAGCTGGGTCAGCACGCCGCTTCGGCCTCCCTTTGTTGTACTGCCGGGTCATCGCGGAGTGCTTCTGCCTTGCGCGCCCGCACGTCGGGGTCCCTTCAACCACGAGCCGCCACCGAGCATCTGAATGTGCGCGCGCGCCAAAACGGCACTTTTTTGGTACTATAGAGCCCCCCCTAACGTACAGCGCCGCCAAAGAACACGCGAGCGTAGTCGCGCGACGAAAAAATCCTGGTCTGTCTGTGTGTACATTTGTCTGTTTGTCCGCCTTATTGATACCTCAAATGGCACCAAAGGGCCAACCCCATCCGTAGCACCCACCAATAATGCTCAAGGTTTAGCGTTCATAGTTGTGCGATTTTCAATAAAAAAGCAAATATTGCGCATATCTGAGACGCCGTAAAAACACATCTATGTTTTGTATGTCTGCCTTTATACTAGAAGAGGCACACACAACAAACTCTAAGGAATGTAGCGTTTAACGCGCTGCGGTGACAGTGCAACGCGATGCCCCAGAAGTAGGCTTGTGCGAATATTCGAATGCTTCGAATATTCGAACGAATGGGTGCAACGCGATGCCCCAGAAGTAGGCTTGTGCGAATATTCGAATGCTTCGAATATTCGAACGAATGGGTGAGTATTCGAAATTGCTTCGATTCCAATTTAAATTATCTTGGGTTCTACCGAAACTAGTAATGAAGGTTGTTTCGACTTCCTTTCAATGAAAAAAAGGCAATTGCATAGAGCCCCTATTTCAATTTAAAAAAATATCGTGCAGGTTAGTTAGGTTATGATAAATATTCCCTTTTTTATATGTCATACATACTATTCGAATTCGATCCGAAATTATTCGACCGAAATCACTATTCACTTCGAATTCACTTCGTCCCTGAAATTCACTATTCGCACAAGCCTACCCAGAAGGTGTTTCCAACGCTTTGCTACGACGACATGGTGGTGGCACCTGCCTGTCGTTTGGCAATCTACACCTTATCACCTACGAGACTGGCACGCATCTTTCTCCGCGGTCGCGCACGCCTTTGTTTTCGAAGATAACTGCCAGATGGCGCTCGTGTCTAACGTGCCTAGATGCGCTTGTTCGCCTTCGCTATACGCTCGAGGAACTCTAACGCAGCGCCTTGATAACACCATTCAGCCATTTTCTTGCGCAGAAGATTGAATAAACGTTTCGTTCACTCTCTCCAGGTGCAAGACTATCGTCTTTCGACGATATTTAAAGTGTAACGTGTAGATTCAGGCCAATTTATTTTGTGAAAGTTTTATACTCAAGTACACACTATATAGAAGTAATTAGTCTCTCTGCAAGTTTGATATAGGTGGGTTTGACTAGAGCTGGGCTTTACAACAGATGCTAAAAGGCAGCAAGTAAACTATTAGCACTATTTACACTATGGTGTGTCTGCTTGACAAATGAACATGGACAGCATAACACAATGCACAGTGGGATGTTTCTGCCCAACCAATCAACATAAACAGCATGAACACATGTCTTACGTGCTTTGTGCCAGACACCTGCTGCTGAGACTTGTCAACCTCAGGTGTCGCATACAGAGTGGTATTTCTGAAGCAATTTAAAATGTCCGCTACTTTTACTTCCTCACTTTCATTGCTGCTGAAGCATGCCAGGTCCAATAGCAAGCACAAATAACATAAGAATGCACTCCAAATAGGACGCAGCCTCTAACTATAGGCCAGGCTTTTTGTGAAGAGGGCATACATTGCAAAAAATATATTTTTTTCAAAGTAATTAGTGCAACACTGTACATACAACATGACGCTGAAAATTCAGGCATTATACAACTCTAATAAAACATCAAACATTAGCCAAACTTTGTACAGTGAGAGGTGTGTACATGGAATGCGAATTCGAACATTCGGCCCATGGAAATGTTAACTTGAACATGTCTTTATAAATAAAAGGTTGTCAATTATTGAAATTAAATGTGAACAACCTCGTGACACAAAGAAAAACCTTTAAAAGTCTCTTACAATTGTGACTTCAAAAAAATTTTAAAGGACGCAAAAAATTTCGCGAAAAAAAAAGACTATGACACTCGATCAGGCTTCCACCCCTCTGTGAGAATATAAAGGATGTTGCAGGTTGTCAGGCTCAGATTTTTTAGGGCATAAGGCACTCCTGCAAAGAGACAGGGAAAAAAATGTTTTTTTAGCTTATTCTGCTACAGATATGAATGAAATGCGTCCAAAAAATCCTCATTACTAAAGGTGGGCATTTATGCGGCTGCTTTTATTCAAAAATAGTGCGTGTCACCAGGAGCCAGGAGGGTTGACCTAAAGGCCTGCCCCCCCCCCCCCCCGCCCCCGCTCCCGAAAATCGGATGATGGCAGGTGTTTTACGAACGACAAATAATAAAAACAGGTCTTCCTCAAGGCCTTTAATGTGTGCCCCTAGCCCCCTGCCCGAAAAAAAAAAATTCCTGGCTGTGGCCCTGCATGCGTCGCAGGATGCGGAAAGGGATTACTAATTGATGTTCACTAATGCATCTTTCAGATGGATTACCCGCTATTTTTCAATAAATCTCTCCCCCATTTAAAAAGAAAGCATTATCACAGTGCAGGTAATTTGAAGTGTAGAGCACAAATCAACTCCTTATGACCACACATTACATCTAAGCTGAAAATAAAAGTGCCTTCATTACACAATATAGCAGGTGACACCTATTGCTGTGTTTGCGAAAAATGCACTGCCCTGTGCTACAGAGTTGTGTGATATTCCATTCCGTTTCTGCTCCAGTGAAGTGTATACTGTGTAGCTGCGACTATAAGTTTAGGCATAGTGCTCCCTGCGCAAATATTGCAAAAAAATAAAACAATGGTATTCCAAGCAACGCAACAAGAGAAGGCCAGACATCAAGGTGCTACTCCAATGCTTGCATCACAGCTTAAGGGGAGATGCAGTTCGAAAAAAAAAGTTTCGTTCATCTGTGGCCTAGGGAAATTAAATTTTTCACTGTATATATAGGCTTTTACGCTGATTTCAAATATTTAATTAGTCTTATGGTAAGTTGCACAGTTTCCGTTTCGTGCAATGACAATGTATAAAATACAGTTCGTTCTGGACAAACTCCTTACAACATTAATCTTCTATGGTTCCGAGCTATCGATGGCTCATATTGCTCCACATGAACTGTAGAATGCAAATAACTATCAAGTGCATATAAAACATTTTAATGCTCGACAAAAATGTGAGAATTCTTACAATACTCAGCCCATACTGATTTCTTACTTCATGTTCGTGATAATTGTACATGCGATATCAATTTTTAAAGGAGATAGTTGCACCCTTCACATGGTAAGGAATGTGTAAGCAAAATTTTATCGTGATGTGGCTATCAAATATACTAAACACATGATGCCTAAACTCAAGAAGCTGTCTAAAAATGGTTCTTGAGAAAAATGCATGTTAAAGGTAAAAGTCAAAACTTATTTATGTGGTAACAATATGCTTTTTTTTCAAATGGCTGTGTTCATCATAAGAGCTTGGCAACCATGGTTATTTTAAGCATGTGATTTTTTTAGTGAACTCATGCAAAATGCACAGGCAAGCAGCCAGGTGACCCTGTCCAGGGGACTTCAGACAATGAGCTCTATTTAGTTTTAAATAGCCACATTGTGCTTCTCAAAAGCAATTTTAACCTACTTCGACTTCATTTACAATATTTAGTTTTTTTTTTGTTGCAAAAGTACAGAAAGCAAACTGTGAAAACAAATAAACACAAAAAATATGTGATTTTGGAAACGACTTGCATTTTTCGGCTCTTATCTCCTCTTAATCGGGTGTATAACCAATAAACCCTGGCAGCAGTTCGGTACAACACTGCTGTTTGATGACACGTGCACCAACAGCAGTTTATATGGTTTAAGATACGGCTAGCTCAAAAGCCACATGTGCCACAGTTACATTGCAAATGAAGTAGCCTAGGTGCTCGGCAAATGTTGTGCAGTGTCAATGCGGTTTATGACAGATGGGCATTCAAAGAAAAGGAACCTCTTTTCAAGGAACCTCTTTTTAAGGAACCTCTTTTTAAGGAACTTGAAGGGACTAAACGATGCACTGCTGGCTAGCAGTGCATCGTTTCATTTCATTTCAGGTTTATATTTAATGCATGGAATGATGCATAGTACCTTTTTACCCGTTAAGTAAAAAAAGGAAGACATAGGAAATCAGCGGTGAATGCCTTAAATTAGGGTTCGCTAACCTGCCACACCAGGTTGTGAAGAGTGGGAAGGGGCCTTAGTACAATACCCATACCAAGGTCACCGTTTGAAAGGTTGTTCTCTCATCTCATATGAGCGTCATTTCTGAAGGGGACTCAGCGGCTTGAGTCCAACATATAAATAGCGATCTTTAAGACGACTAAAAGCTTTGAGGTCGCCTTGAGGTTAAAAAACGCCTTGAGGTTTAAAAAAAAAGCATGAAAGCGCGGATCTACTGAAGTTACTGAGAGAAGAAAAATTCGCAAGTAACTTTTGAAAAACGAACCTCGGCAGATGTAAAATGCAGCTCGTTTCGGAAGGACACACCAGGTTGCGTCTAACATGGTTATCTTCACTCCAGAGTCAAGAGCATACAGCCACTGAAAATATCAGATAAAACGAAGGAATCAAGCACTTGAACAGGCATGGTTCATGCAGGAAACACCATGATATACATCTTAAATTTTTACCATTTCTAAGCAAGATCTTGACACAAGCAGCATTTGGTTATAACTAGGGCTCTGTGTCTTTGGACGTTGTTATGAAATTTGGAGGGTGTTCTTTGAAGTTTATTACTCCTAGTTCCCCAATTCTCCGAGCTTCAGCGTTAATTTTGTATGAGAAATTGTTGAAAAGTGGTATAATTATAATTATTTCCACTGATGCACTGCATTATTGCTGCTAATGCTGCTTCTCCATCTTATAATTTTTTTTCACTCACTCTTTGTTTATTTACCTTGTTAGCAAAGCTGTTCGTGGGTGCACCATAATTGCCAATGTGCACATTTGGGATAACCTGCTCTTTAGCTTCTTCTCCTAGCCCTCCTCTCATCTTCTTGACAAAAAATAAAGGACCTATTATTACTATTATTTTCAAAACTCCATATATCTTGGATGAAATGATATCTTGCCACAAGAATATGTGAAACATGAAACCAGCAAGCATACCTTGGATGTCTGAAATGTTTTACCACACAAACATGTATACACACAAGCACAAATACTTTAGCACAAAACACCTACATTTATATTAAAACCTTAAAGCAGTGGACCACTCGGCAGTGGACCACTCGGCCAAGCTTGTCGCGGCCACGCGCCTGCAACCATAAACACATAGTTGCGGCACTCAACACGGTGTGCGGCGTGACCACCCTTACTCCTTATGCGCCTTCCTTCCCCTCCTCTCCTATGCTCCCCTTCTTCTCTCACCTTGCAACACCAACGCAGGCAGTGTCTGCTAGCATGCGTCAGCGCTCTGTGTCATCTCTTCGATCTCCTCCTGTCATTTGCACTGTTAAGCACTCTTTAGCCTAAGCTCGTTTCCCCTCTCCTGGCATCCCTCCCTGGGGCATTTACACCCGAATTGCGCACACGCGTTTCCTCTTTATCTCTGCTCTCCTATGCACCCGGCCTTGCAAAGCTGACACAGGCAATGTTTGCTAGCGAGTTTCTTGATTGAAAAACAGACTACTTGCGCTGCACAACAATTCACTGCCGACCTTGTGTACATAGGCACTCGATCTTGACCTCCATGGTACTGCCGATGGGAGATTTCCCCTGTGCATTGTTGAACGATCGAAATTCGCAGCGTGTGCCTTAAATAAAAGCAGACTGCTGTTCTCCGTGTCCGATCGGCATCTTTTCTCTCTCATTGTCCATTAACAATGATTGATTGGCATGTTCTAGTAAGAAACACGAGGCTATCACTGCGTGCTTTGCGCCTCCCCAGGTTTCTTTCCTGTGCCACGCTGCGATCAGTGCCGGCGTCAACGCCGCCGCCAGTGTAAGCATTAGTGCCCGCTGCTTTGCATCTACGCATGGTTGCCTGTGTATCTCCCTTTGCATCTTCCTTTAGTAGGAGATGGTGTAATCTTTTTTTCTATATTTGTCAAGGTACAGTCTAGGGTATGACTTTCTCGCTTTTTCTTGCCTTTGCTAATTAGCTACTTGACGAGTTGCACACAGTCTCAATGCCTGTTGTAAGATTATGTAATAAAAAGGACAGCTGAAAAAAATTGTGTTGCAATGAAAATAAAAGGCATATCAATGCCCTGGCCTCAATCATACATTTTAAAATGTATGGTGCTTTAAACAACTTTCATACCACATTTTTTAGTGAGCCAGACTTGGGCACGACCACAAGAAGTGATATAGAGTACATCAAAAAGTTGTGAAGAATTATTCATACAATTTATACAGTAGTATTAGATAAAATCATCTTCAATAAGTGCACCAATTCCTACCAAAATCTATGAAGAAATAAGAAAGTTAGTACCAAAAGCCACTTACCCTTTTAACTAGAAAGAAAATTAATAGTATACATAGGTATAATCTTCAATGCTTCATGCCATATGTACATCGTGGCTCAGCACAATTAATATGTTCTTGATGGTAAAACTGATTCGCAATTAACCAGGTTATTATCCTACATCTCATAAGATCATAAGATATGACAAATTACTGCAAGTTTGTTACTGCAGAACAAAACAATGTTTACCCATAAACATAGGAACAGACCAGAAAATTAGGTTGGCCCCAATGATGTCAGGTTACATGTACTGTACTAACCATATCACTGTCATTGTTGACAGCCAATGGTTTTTCACTATTTCGGCTCAATCTCATAATGCCCAAGGCGCCAGCATGGGTAGAAAAATAGTGACCAAAGGTAAAACCCGGAAACTCCACCGGCTTGTCCTGGCATGTCCATGAATTCCACCTGCTCCTCCGTTGCAAGAAAACCTGCATAAAAGTAGCACTCGTGTCAATTGAAAAAAAAGGAGCTAAACATAAGAAACAGTAGCTGTTTCGCTTATTGCCCAGTTAAACAGTTGGATTTTTCGCCACTCGCAACGGCAGCTGTACCGAAGCATGCGCACTGCATTTGCTAAATAAGAGCAGAACTGCGTGTTACAAAGGCACATGACGATTCCTTAGCCAACGACATTAAATGTATTCATGATGCTTCTTCACTGAAAGCAAGAGGTTACGTTTGCTTTAAGATGAGTGGCTTGACAGAGGCACCTCGTCTTACCTCTCCCCCCCCCCCCCCATCAGGACAAGAAAGAGAACTTTGAAGGCTCGCTTTTTCGTTTGCCACAACCCTAACGAAAACCAGGTATCGGGGACGTTAATTGCACAGCTTTGAGTGTATAGTAGTAATTACAATATAGATGTGAAGAAAGTAAAGAGAACGAAGGAACAACTTGCTGCCGGCAGGGCTCAAAACTGTTGCCTCCAGATTCCTTTGATAAAACTGCTACATGGGGGAGCTGGTTAATGACTAAGATAGATAGATAGTGCAAAAAAACAAAACGCTTAAGAAGAAACGCAGTCAGTGCTGTGTGTATGTTTCTTCTAAAGTGTATTGTCTTTTTGTGCTGTTAAATTTATCTCCAGATTTTGCACCCAACTTTCCTACCAATATAGAGCTATAGCCATGGTCGTGCCCTCATCCACTTATCGGGTATTTATGCGCATGCGAAACCTGGGAGTCTTTCTCAGCACCCCTCCTAGCCATGACTGCTAAAGTAGAATAATTCCAGCCAGATGGGGTCAGGTAGCTCGTGAACCTTTAACAAGTGGATTACAGACCAACCAGTTCTTGCATATTAAAACAAGATAGTAAAAAAAATTGGACAGAAGTCCTAACACCCAAGGATGAAAAACGGAGCGCCCATATGGGAGGGGGGGCAATGAAACGTGCATGTACAAAGCACTGGCGAGGGAATACTTTGCGAGGACAGTGTCACATATGTGTTCTTGAATTCTCTCATCTTGAAATGTGTTTTTTTCACACTCGGTATGGACCAACTAGTCCACCTATTATCGTTGTTCTAAAAGCTGGTTTGTCAAAAATGGCACTGTCGCCGTTAAAGCCAATGTTGCAAAATCTTCTCAATGGGGCGCAGAGCCACTTTCACACGTTTATTCTCAAGATGAAAAGGCTGATGCATTGCTGTGCCAATTCTGCGTACAACTTGTCCGCAGCGACCGGAACGGAATTCTAACCTACTGCGAAAACGTAGTTGGTCTCTATTACGAGTTTGAGTTAAAGCGAGTATTTGGACTTTCAAGACATATATACTTTCGAAAACTCGCAACAAGGTTTGAACATTCGCATTTTTTTCTCTATGCCTATCGGAGGACGCCCGCAAATTCCACGGGGCAAGACGTGCTCAATAGCGCTAAGCTATTTGGGGTCGCAGACTAGTATGCACAAGATTGCCGACACGTTCGACGTTTCAGAATCGTCTATTTCACTATATCTTGGCATATTTCTGCAATGGCTGTTCAGTATCAGTGCGGAAATTATATCGTGGCCAACTGGAGCAGAGCGCAAAGCCTGCAAAGTTGGTGTCTTGGCAGTAAGCAAAGAAAAAGGTTTGAGAAGTACAATCGGATGTGTAGATGGATGTCAGATTGAGATCGTGAAGCCAAAGAAGTCACCAAAATCATACAATTGAAAAAAAAAATTACCTCAATTATATTGCAAGGCTTCGGCGACTCAAATTGCCACCTTATCAATGCATTTGTGGGCTTTCCAGGGTCGGATCACGAGTCTAGTGTCCTGGCAAACAGCACCTTTTTTGATGATGCTGAAGAAAAGCGTGGCGGAGATTACATCCTTGGTGACGCAGCATATCCGCTGCTGCCTTGGTTGCTGACCCCTTACAGGGCTTGTGACACCACATCGAAACCTCTCAATACGCGCTTCAACAAAGGTTCAGCCAACAGAGAGCGGCCATCGAACATTCCTTTGGTATGTCAAAACAAACGTTCCGAAGGCTCGACTTCATAGACACCGACACTATTGACCAGTGTTGTCTGGTAATTCTTTGAACATGCATACTGCACAACACCTGCTGTGAAATCATTGATGAATTAAATGACTTTTCCAACAGCACTTTTAACAGCAGTGAGATAGACAGAGAGGACTATTTTCAAGTCACAACTCCTGCAGCTATCCGTGAGGCATGCGAGCTGATAAGAAAAAAAAATCTCCGATACACAGTGCTAAACAGACGTCACGGTTGATTATGAGCAGTGCAATGATTGCTCTTTCAGATCTATTTTTGTCCCGAGTTATAAGGGTGTTTTCTGCACTTACAAAAACAAACAGCCAAAACGCGCACCTTTCCAAATTCTGTAAAGCGTTTTTCTCCAACACCTTCATATATGTGAGTTGTGTGTTCAGTGAAATCGTGATGTAAAATAAAAATGGCTGCAATAGTTTATTTTCTTTTTTCGCATGCTGACAGAACCCTTTCCAGCAGCTGCATTTTTTTTTGTGTGTGTGGCGCGCTGCTATTTTTCTTTCTATAGTTCTTCCACTGTGAAAAACAGCTTTGCCAGTGCCAATTTGTCTTTTCTGGAGTCTTTCTGAGTCTCGCAGCTCAACCGAGATTGCTCGTAGTACTTCGTTTTGGTAGGTTCAGGCTCTTGATCAGATGACTCTGGGCGCTTGTAACAAAATGTAGCAGTACAAAGTAGCCGTTAATTCTGTTTGCGTCTGACTTGTTTGAAGGCATATCTCTGCAACTGGAAAAAGTATGTGTGCATTACCTTGACTTTAGCAGGTATATTTTAAAGACCATTGAGCTTCCATCAGTCAGCGCTCGTATACACTCACATCTCTCTGTTTTTATTTCGAGAGATCTTCTTCCCGGCCCTGTATAGCACGATGGGCTTGATGCTGTGTTCTTTCCCTAGGACTTGATAGAGCTCCCTGGTCATGAAACAGCCACAAGTACAGCTAATATTGTTGCACATTTAATTATTTGCATCTTACGATCAGGAGATGAATAGTGCATTCGCATCATTTTCGAATTAAAGAGACCAAAATTTGTTCATTTGTTTACTGTAGGAAAACGTTGTAATTGAGTACTACAGTAATTTTGAGTAATCAACGTTTTGGTGGTCGCGGCACATCTGGCCGGTCGACACCTGCTTCCTCACGAGAAAAACAGTGTGGTTGGGGATCCATGCAATATTCTGTGAACGGGGTTTAACAAAGACGGTGCTCCTCCTTTGCTCCGAATGGTGCCGCTAACAAGAACGAGACTGTGGCCCACTGTTCGGACTCAGCGGCTGAGTGCAAATGTTGAAACAACGAAAGACCAAGGACTCATCGCTTTGCCTAATAAGCGATTTAAAAATATGTGAAATAAAATTGCTGTATATGTAGAAGCCATGGCGAGATCTCGGTATTCACATCGACCCTTTTTTATGATGCAGGACCCGAATTCTAAATTGATTGATATGTGGGGTTTAACGTCCCAAAACCACCATATGATTATGAGAGACGCCGTAGTGGAGGGCTCCGGAAATTTCGACCACCTGGGGTTCTTTAACGTGCACCCAAATCTGAGCACATGGGCCTACAACATTTCCGCCTCCATCGGAAATGCAGCCGCCGCAGCCGGGATTCGAACCCGCGACCTGCGGGTCAGCAGCCGAGTGCCTTAGCCACTAGACCACCGCGGCAATGCAATAACTTACTTTATTGCATTGCCATAACCTGAATTAGCAAAACAGACAGCATATAGATATACACATACATTCGCGACTTGGTGTTTCTTTTTCTTTTTTCTTCACTCAAGAGGCCGGTCCAGATCGTTTTTGTGCAGTTAACGTCGCCCAACCAACGAGCACCCATAGGAACGTTCAAATGCTAATTTTTTCTTTGGCGTGTGCCTGCGTGAATTCGAACTTACTGCTATTATGTTTAAGCAATAAAAAGTTATGCTACGCACTTTTGAAAATCGCAGTAAGCGACTGTTTATTTTTCAAGAGTGCTCTCTTGTACGCGCGCTTTAGAGATTTCCGTTTGTTTTGAACTTGCAATGGCGTCAATAGTCAGGAATACTGCCTATTCCGGTCGTCAATTAGTAGTTCCCACATGGCCTTCTTGTTCCTGCGCAGTTGCACAAAATATATAAAATTTGCCGCAAAAGTAAACAATTGTTATTTACCTTATTCCGCCTTTCTGTGCAAGTCGAGCTTTCATTTCCTTTTACATTGAAATGAGAAATATTGTCGTTCTGGTGCTCCGCAGCACTTCTCGCGTGTCATCCAGTGCAGTGGTGCCGCCGTTGAGGACAGCAACGGCTGACGCTCGCGTTGAGGAGACAGCACTGCTGCTTGTTGAGCCAGCCTCGGCTCCGGTGCTGAAGCGGACGTACGCTGTTGAGGAGCTTTTTCCACGCGCTCGACAACTGCCGGCAAGCCAGGTGTTGCCGGCAAGCTGCACCGTGACGGCACCACCTAGCGAACACGTTCAGGAATTCTCTGGACCACGGTGACACCACTACTGCACCGCGCGGCAGCCGAGCACCGCGGTGCAGCGCACCAGAGAATCGAGGACTTTGGTGTCGTGCACCATGCACTGGTGCAGGTGAATCGAACACACCCTCAATAGCAGTCGGAACACCGGCAACAAGCGCTGTCATGCGTTATTATAAGCACATAGCTGTATTGCCGAAAAGTATTGTGCTATTTATGCTCCTAAACATTTTTTTACACACAAATAAATACGAAGTTGTGAGTAAGCCGCACATGCTTGGGTTTCTTTAGTTGGGACTCCATGTGCATCCTTTGCAGCTTGCCCAAGAGCTGCAGCGCCGGATCTGAATTCGTTTATGCTGACACATGCTGCTGTTTTGTTATTTTTTCTCTTTAGTAAACACACTTTGGTTTTGTAACACACTGCGATCACTCTGAACCAAGTGCTCGAGATCGAAAGCCGCAGACAAACTATAAAGAAAGCAGGCCTCAACAGTCAGCGCACTGTCCCTCGCAATCAACTTTTAAAAATATAGGTGCGAGTATAGCGTAAAGAAGATGAATGGCTTACGTGTAAAAGTGGTGGCCTGGAAGTGAACAAAACAAGCGGGAGCGTGCAGCACGCCAAAAGAGTCTTCACAGCGCCTACTTGCTTTCCACGTTTCGCTTTGAGAGTATACTTTCGTAAAAGCAAAGGAGGACGCCTGCACCGGCCAGCAGTGTCGGGCCAGCTCGAAGGTGGCGCCTCTGGTTTCATGAGCTTGGCATTACATAGTCCAAAGCCAGCGTTAGCGGCCAAGCTAGCGCCGATGACGATGGCGACGTCGGCCTTTTTCCAACTCCAGCTCTTCATGCCGACTTGAATGGCCGGCAGCAATCTGCCGCACATTACCCGATGGTCGGTCATTGGCCAGTTTTTCTTGTGTTGGAGGTCTCACCAAGCTTTTGCAAGTTATTACACGAGTTCATTTCTGGACTATAGTTTATGAACGTCACACGTCTGTAGTATAGAGCTTGAATATGAGGAGGCTGCACGTGTTCTTGACTTGTAATGTGACTTCCTTGCGCCTAGTGCGTGAGCTTGTCTGCACTTCTCTTACGTTCGCCGAGAGCGCACAGCTGCCGGCGACTGCAGGTGGCGGCGGAAGCGCCTATCTGTGGCGGCAGCTGCTGCGGCGGCGACGCGCTCGCAGCTGCTTCCGGCGCAATGGAGGACGACGCGTTCGAGGGAGACCTGGGCCTCGCCGAGGAGCTGACAAAGCCACCTAACCCCTCAACTGCTG